CATCCTCTCGGTCAGAGACAATGCGCCTGTGGGTGTGCTGCTCGTGATTCTCAGGCTCATTATGCTCGCTGCAGGCCGATGCACGTGGCTTTGCGTCGTGCCCTCGCACGGCCGTTTCCTCTCCCAGTGCTCAGGCGGCGGGGCTCGTGGACCCCCAGACTCGAGGACTACTCCTTCTTGGCCGCGGCGCGCGCGATGTACAATCAGACGCGTCTGATCTCTTGCTGGCCCCTGGCGCAGGCATCGATCGACGCTCGTGCATTGGCGGGGGCGCGTTCGATGATGATGGCGAAGCCAGCCCAGTTGTCAGCTCCCGAGCGCGTTCGATTCCGTCGGCATGACTGGCGCCCTCCCCGGGCGAGACCTGGTGTGAATGCATGCTCCTCCTCTACTTCGAGCTCGGACTCGTCTGGCTCCTCTACTTCGAGCTCGTACTCGTCTGACTCGGCCTCTGTGTGTCCTGCGTGGGTGGTCTCATCCACGAGTTCGGCCTGCTCCGCCTCATTGACAGCGTCGACGCCGCGTTCCTGTCCCTCTGCCCCTGGGTCCGTGGTGGCTTCTCCCAGGCTGACGCCAGTCCTTGTGCATACCACCGAGATTGCGACAGTGCGCAGTGAGAGTGAAGGGTGTGGGCCGATGAATCGTGAGGATGAGACTGGTGAGTTGTGTTGTATTGTCCCTGTCTTGCCATCTAGTGTCTCGTGCCCCTCTGTGTGCCACCCGTCTCCTCTCTCTCTCTCTCCTTCTCTCTCTCCTTGTCCTTCGCTCCGTTGAGCTCTGCCCCTGCCTCTGCGTGCTCCTTCCCTGCTTCCCCTCCGTGTCCGCGTTCGAACGGGAATGCCCACCCTACCCCGTGTGGGAGCCGCCGTGTGCGGCCACCCGCGGGCACCGCCGCGGCGCCCGACGTCGGCGCCCACGTGGCAGGTCTGCCGCCCGTTGCCGCTCCCGCGCCCCAGGCCGTGGGGCTCTGGGGCTGTAGTGTAGGTGAGGACGAGGGCCCCTTCCTACGCTCGTCTCCTCCTCCTCCTCCTCCTCCTCCTCCTCCTCCACTCCTTTTCTATTCAAAGAATTGTTTCCAGTCGCACCCCGAGGCCAGTTTTTCGGACGGCCGGTCGTTTCGCCTGAGGCTTCCTCATCAGCCAGGCCCTTGAAGTCTAAGCAGTTTCACATATGGAGGGCAGGTGGTTTTGGTTGCCCATAGTGCGGCGTTCAGGGGCGCCGGTCGATCGTGTCCGCCAGCAGCCAGCACAACGCCTGAAACTCCCGGAGCTGTCCTGCAGGAAGCGGGCGCGGCCTGTGCCGCGCCTAGGCGGGCGCGGCGCCCGTGGCGAGGGGCGGCCCGGCCGACCCCCCAGGCGACACGACCCCCTCCGTGACGGCCCCGTCTGCCTCGCCCCAAGACGTGGGCGGGTGGCCAGCGTGGGGCTGCGAGTGTGGTGGGGGCCGTCGCGGAGGGGAGTCGTCACGGAGGGGGTCGGTCAAGCCGCGCCCGACAATGTCGGGCCCACGGGCTGATGTCTCATGGCGTCTGTTCTGGGCTCTAGGCTAGGAGCGTGTTTCTCTACTGCGTGGGGCACAATGAGCATTATAGCCCCCGGCCTCCCCCCTTCCCCCCCCCATAGCATAACGCCCCTTCCCCCCCCTTCCCCCCCCAGCGCGCTCCGGGCACCGCCGCCGTGCGCGCGGCGGGGAAGGAGGCGTTACATGATACCCCCTGCCCCTGGCCCCCCTCCCCCCCTGTATTGCCCAGTATCGCCGAAGATCAAGACACGCGCCCTACAGTCGGGGCTCTGAATAAGGAACCTTTCGTTGGGGAGGGGCTCCGTGTTCCTTCATTGTTTCACCACTTGCCGGTGGTTTTCCTTATGTTTTCGATGGGAAATCGAAGTTTCACTTGTGGAAAAATGGGGCATCGTTCCGTATGTAGGGTTCCTTAGGTCAACGCCCCGATTGTAGGGGAGCTCAGGCCCGTCGAGAGGAATCCCCTGCCTATCGGGTGGGGCGGCCCCGGGGGGCGACTTCGCGGGTAGTTCGCCGTGCCGTGCCGCCCTCTTCGCCCCCGTCGGCTGAGCCTCCGGTCAGGCCCGCGGGCGCGCGGCGGCCAGCCCACGGCCACAATCGGGCCGGACGAAAGGGGGGGATTGAGAAAGGGGGGTTTACGAAATCTGCTGCATGCAGCTGGTTTCGGCCTCACCGAGGGGCCCATTCCTCGATGCATGGCCGCCTCCGGCGCCGGGAGGCGCCGGGAAAATCAGCTACGTGAGCTGATTCTCAAACTCCCCCTTTGCTATCCCCCCCTTTCGCCCGAGCCGACACAAGCCGGACAGGCACGAAGGGGGGCCCACCCTGCAGGCGCGGTGCAGCGGCAGGTCCTGGAGCGGCGCGGGGACCCCTCCTGGGCACTCGAGCAGGGGATCGACTGCAGAATGGATTCACCCCCAAATCCATGTTCTCGTTTTAGTCTACGCAACAATGCTTCGAACTCCCAGTAGATGTGCGAACAGTCGACGCATTCGTCGTATCTTCGATGGGGAAATATTATTTTTGGGGTGAATCGTTTCTGCAGTCGATGCCCTCCCTACTCGAAACACAGGCCCCCTCCCCAGAGCGTCAGCCAGTCCAGCTGGGTCTGGATCCTCGTGCGTTGCTGTCCTCTGGGCGCGCGTCGGCACTGGCGCCTTCACCGCCACCCCCTCGCCGGGGCCCCCGGCACGGGTGACGGTGACAGCGGCTGGCCGCCTTGGCCGGCGCGCCTCGAGCCTTGAGGAGCGTCAGCCAGTCCAGCTGGGTCTGGATCCTCGTGCGTTGCTGTCCTCCGGGCGCGCTTCGGCACCGGCGCCTTCGCCGCCACCCCCTCGCCGGGGCCCCCGGCACGGGTGGCGGTGACAGCGGCTGGCCGCCGAGGCCGGCGCGTCCCGAGCCTTGAGGAGCGTGCAGTCCCCGGGGCCCTGGCAGGCGCAGGAGGGAGGATGGGGAGGGGGAGGGACGAGGAGGAGAAGGAGCAGGATGAGGGAGGAGACGAGGATGACGAGGGAGGACGGACGGGGAGGGGGAGGTATGTGGAGGAGAAGGAGCAGGATGAGGGAGGAGACGAGGATGACGAGGGAGGACGGACGGGGAGGGGGAGGGACGTGGAGGAGAAGGAGCAGGATGAGGATGACGAGGGAGGACGGATGGGGAGGGGGAGGGACGTGGAGGAGAAGGAGCAGGATGAGGGAGGGGACGGGGATGACGAGGGAGGACGGACGGGGAGGGGGAGGGACGAGGAGGAGAAGGAGCAGGATGAGGGAGGAGACGAGGATGACGAGGGAGGACGGACGGGGAGGGGGAGGTATGTGGAGGAGAAGGAGCAGGATGAGGGAGGAGACGAGGATGACGAGGGAGGACGGACGGGGAGGGGGAGGGAGGTGGAGGTGGAAGGAGCAGGATGATGGACGGACCGGGGATGCGAGAGGGAGGACGACGGGGAGGGGGGAGGGGACGTGGAGGAGAAGGAGAGAGGATGAGGAGGAGGGGAACGGGGATGCGTGGGGGAGGGACGGACGGGGAGGGGGAGGGACGTGGAGGGCGAAGGAGCAGGATGAGGAAGGGGACGAGGATGACGAGGGAGGACGGACGGGGAGGGGGAGGGACGTGGAGGAGAAGGAGCAGGATGAGGGAAGGGACGAGGATGACGAGGGAGGACGGACGGGGAGGGGGAGGGACGTGGAGGAGAAGGAGCAGGGTCAGGAAGGAGACGGGGATGACGAGGGAGGACGGACGGGGAGGGGGAGGATGTGGAGGAGAAGGAGCAGGATGAGGAAGGAGATGGAGATGACGAGGGAGGACGGAGCAGAAGTGTGGGTGGGAGGGGAGACAGGAGTAGGGCTGAAGAGAGGTGCAGGATAAAAAGTGGGTGGGTAGCGCATGACTCGACATGCATGTAGGTGAAGGCAGTAAGAGAGAGAGAGAGAGAGAGAGAGATAGAGAGACAGAGAGAGAGAGAGAGAGAGAGAGAAAAGAGACAGAGAGAGAGAGGCACAGAGAAACATGAAGATAGAGAGGGAAAAGGAGAGAAAGAGAGAGAGAGAGAGAGAGCGACATAGAGAAAGAGAGAGAGGGAGAGAGAGAGACAGAAAGGCAAAGCATATACATAGAGAGAGAGGGAGGGAGAGGGAGAGATAGAGAGAGGGAGAGAGAGCGAGAGAGAGAGAGAGACAATCAGACAACAACAGCGACATATATACAGAAATATTGAAACAACGCGATGATCCACCGCGCCGGTGCCACGCGGCAAGCGGCGGGTGCGCCGAGCCCGCATGGCTGTGGCACAGCTTCAGGAGGGAAGGACGAGAACACGACCCCCGGCGCAAGACGTTGCGCGCGACAAAAGAGCGGAACCGAGGCTCCGAGCGACTCGCAAGCGCGACCTGGGAGAGTCGACGGCGACGACGACGATAATGATGGTGATGATGGTGATGATGGTGATGATGATGATGATGATGATGATGATGATGATGATGATGATGGCGATGATGATGACGATGATGATGATGCTGATGCTGATGATGATGATGATGATGCTGATGCTGATAATGATGATGCTGATGCTGCTGATGATGATGATGATGATGAGGATGAGGATGAGGATGAGGATGAGGATGAGGATGAGGATGATGAGGATGAGGAGGAGGAGGAGGAGGAGGAGGAGGAGGAGGAGGAGGAGGTTGATGATGATGAGGAGGAGGAGGAGGACGCGAGTGTCGAGGTCGAGGTCGAGGTCGAGGAGGAGGAGGAAGGCTACGAGGAGGACGAGGAGGACGAGGAGAAGGAGAAGGACGATTTGCACGAGGTCGAGGACGAGGATGAGGACGACGGCGACGACAGCGTCGACGACGACGACGACGACGACTACGACGACGACGACGGCCCCGACGACAATGATGACGACAGCGTCAAAGGCGGCGAGGGTGACCGCCGCTCGCTCGGGGCGAGCAGACCAGCCCGCCCCCTCCCGGAAGGCAAACTCCAGGAGGCCGAGCCGCTCAGCCGGCGGGCCCTAGAGGCGCACGAGAAGATGCTGGGCGGGGGGGGGGGGGGGGCACAGCACGGGAGCGGACGGGGCGGGGCAGGTGGGGGAACTTTATCATGTCACCGCCTGGCGTCTTTCGTATTGCCGATGCAAAAGGATGAAGGGTGGATCTTCTACACTGCGGGGTCTCGCCTGACTGGCCGTCCCACTCGGCGCTCGTCATTCAAGGGGTGCGGTTCCCGCAGTGGATAGGAACTCTTCCTGAGGGGAGCGACTTGGGACGGGAGGATGCGTTACAGGTTTGCTTTGGTCCGCCTCCCCCTCCTCCTCGTCTTCACCGCTCTTATTTTTCATCCTCAGATCCCCCTTCTCCTCGGCATCGCCGCCCGAAGAACCAACGCTCTAGTACCAGCTGCAGTTTCTGGCAGTGGCGCGACCTGCGCCTGGTGGCCACACAGCACGGAAGTCACCCGCCCGAGTTCTACATCGGCAGAGATGGAAGGACGCGGCCTTGCAGGTGTTGCTGGCAGGAGGCCAGCGGTGAACGATCTCTCAACACAACCACGCGTGAGATCGCTTGGACTTGAAAGCGTGGCGCGGCAGTATGGTTTCCACAGCTACAGGTATCTTGCTTCTCCGAGCATCTGTGCTCGCGCCCAACAAGGTGGACCAGCCGCCACACCACGGGAATCGTCAGCGCAGACGCGACAGGCCCAAGCTCACATCAAGAAACTGGGGGCGGCCATGGTCAAACAGTCTTCAGTCCTGATGGTTCTGTGCAGCTAGACGGTGTTGACGATGGGCATGACGAGAATGGAGCCTCTTTCCTTAGACGAACGCAAGCACGGGCACACATACATGGATTGGGCAAGCAACTCGGGTTGGCCAGCAATGGGACATGTGATTATCGATCTGCATTACGCGCGGCGTTACGAGCAACACGTTTGTAGATTCATTCCAAGTTGGATTTCATAAACCAGTCATGGCGCATAGGTCCGCGGTCAATCGGCATATGTCGGTGGAGTCTCAGCGCATTCTGACGAAGCAAAGGCCGACGTCGACAAGCAACAACAATCAAATCGAGGAGCTGCACGAGAAGCTTAAAAAGGCCACAGAAGATCTGCAGCACAAGAGGACCAATTGCGAGGAGTTGCGTAACAAGTATCTCGAGCTGGCCAAGAACGCAGTGCTCCCGCCCCAGCGTCGCGAGAAAGAGGTGGTCACAGCACCCGGACCGGACTGCGCGGCTCTAGGTTAGGTGCTCAAACATCCGGATGCAGGTTAAGCGGCATATCATATGGCAGATGAGGTGGCGAAGCAGCTACCGAACATCATTTCAGCATGCTGATGCCACCGTGCTGGGATCTGAGTCTCCGCCGTCCGCAACTGGCGCGCAGGCAGCAGGGGGGCAACTTCCTCAGGCAGCGGCGCCAGTTCCTCAGCTTTCTACCCACCAGAGCAAGCAACCTCAGCCAAGGATGCTGATATTGCGGCTTTTCGCGTCTGTCTTTGCTTAGTGGGTGTGGGCGTACGTGCCTGATGGAGCGGACGAGGAGGAGGTGCGGCAGGCTGCGAGCATGTTGTTCAAGTGGGCGCAGCAGACCTGGATGACGCCGTTCGGGTCGTTTTAAGCAGGCTCGGATCAGCATGGTGGTTTTCATGTAGTTTGCCCGTGTGATGCCGGCCGGGATTGATCAGTCATGCAGCTCAGCCCATCCAGCGCAGAGATCAGGCTGACCTGGGAGAACCGAACATGGCGCGGTCCAGTGAGCCTAAGGGCGCAGCGCCTTCGCCGACGGCCGCGGCAAGTCCTTGGCCCAGCCCAGCTCGAGAGAAGGTTGGGCGCACCTGGTGGGGCGAAGCCCGCTGCGACCCCGAGGGGGGCCCCGGCGGCTGCTGGAGAGGGGGGCGGGGGAGCCCTGGAAGGTGATCTGGCTGGAGGAGTCTGGGCGAGTACTCTTGCAGCATCGAGCACGGCTGCTGCTCTTGTTTCTATGATGGCGGCTTCGGGGCTGGGCCAGCCTGGTCAAGTTTGCGGCCCGACCTTGGATGCCCGGAGATGGCTGAGGCGACGCGCAGGACGGAACCCACTGCGACCCCTCGATATGCCATCAGGGCATACAGACAGGAAGGCGAGGGACCCCTGCACTTCGAATCGGGGGGCCCAAGGCGATCTCCTCGCCCGCGACGGTCGCGCGAAAACAAACGGTCAGAATCGCGCGGCTAAGACCTCGAGCTCGCTGCCGACGAGGCCGAGCACGCCAGCGCGGACGAAGCGCAGGGCGGGCCGCCGTAAAGGTCGAAGGAGGAGATCGCGACTGCCAGCGTGGACAAGGCTGGCCCGTCGTCGCGATATTTGAAAGGCGGCAGATCATTGGTGGTCCATGTCGAGGACCGCAAGGCGGCGGATGGCTCGCTTCCTTCCGTTGGGTTCAAGATCAAGCAACTTGGATGCCGCTGCGTCGTTGGCCCAGCGGTGCGAACAGCAAAAGAATATTCTCATTTGGGGTGGCTGTTCTTGCGCCCGCGCGCGTCTCGCGTTCGCGACGCCCCCGGCGCCGGGGGCTGCCGCGGTTTGCCGCGGGAGAACGGTCGTTGCAATCATAGCATGGGGGGGGGGGGCCCGATGGGGCCGAAACCATATTTGCACATTTCGAAGATTCAGTGGGCTTGGACCACAGTTTTCATGGCGTGCTGTGCACAGTGGTACGCGATTTAGGGCGACGCAGTGATGTTGGGAAATGCTGGGCTGCGCGGTGTTGCTGGCGCATGGGCTCGACCGCGTCTGATAGACATGCGTGGTTGGAACAGCCCATAGGAACTTATGTCGCGCCGATGCATGTCGCACGTCGCGCCGCCCATTCAACCGAGAGCAGCGCATGCGACTACCTTGCCGCGTTGTCGGAGCTGGCGGCCAAGGTGGGCGCTCCGACAATTGACCAAACATCTGGGTTACCCGTCCACGCGCCCTTGCGCGTGCCTATCGATAACGGGCGTCGGGAGGCGCGTCTACGCGTTCCTGTCGCTCGCGAACGCCAATCTCTCGGCGTGGCGTGACGAAGCTGGTGATGGTGGCGATAACGAGAAGGAGCTCTGGCATGCAAGGGGCCCTGCGGTCTCGGGCAGCGAGCGGGAGCTACGGCGGAGAGGGGGCCTCGCCGGGGCGACGGCTGCGCCGCGCGTCGGTCCAGGAGGCCCCGTCGAGACGAAGTTCGAAGAGGCCGAGGTGGACATCGAGCGCCGTCGGTTGGCGCGTGGCCCAGCTGCCGCTTTTTGGTGGCCCGAGCATATCATTCGGTTGAGAGTGCTCTGGGTCCAGATGATTAGCGGCGAGCGAAAGTGCCAAGGCGCGGTGGCGGGCAGGATCAGGCGGCGCGACTAGACCTCGCCTTGGGCGTCAGGCGCGGCGGCTGATGGGGCCGAAGAAGCCAGATCCATGCTTTCAGACCGGCATGCGCTCGTTCGGGAACCCATGCACGTGCGCGGCTAGCGCTGGGGATTGTTGGGCGGCCCGGCGATGATATCCAGAAGAAGCTCAGTGATAGCAAGAGGCAGTGAGAGGAGTGGGTCGGCCTGGCGGTCTTGAACGGAGCTGGAAAGGATCGCGGGGCCTTGCGAGCCCCGGCCGCGTCTGCCAGCATCTCCCGCGCAGTGCGCGCGCAGTCATGCCAGATGGCGGCTGATGAGATGCGAAGATGGATGGGGGGGCGGCGTGGACTTGTCGTGACATTCGATGCGCGGGGCGACCTAGAGGGGCGACTGAACTGGCGTCCCCTTTCATTGCGGTGGGGGATATTCGCGCAGGCCGGGGGCTCGAGAAGTTCGCAAACGAACCGTCGCTCGGGCGCCGAAGCATCTAGATCGATTGCCAAGATTGCGAATGCCACTCAGTGGGGCGGGAACGAAGGTGACGGCTGTGGCGCGCTGGCTTGCCTCCTTCGCCTGGTCATAGAGCGGCCGCGGCTGGTGCGTCTCCCGAGGGGCTTGCCAGCGCGAGACAGGCCTCTGTCGTGCAATGCGGGCGGTCGTCGGGTAGCGCCTCCCTCGCCCTCTACCCCGCCGCCCAGGAGGACAGGCTGTGCGAGCCCATGTGCCATGCCGCGATTGGGCCATTCAAGGCCCGCACCAGCCTCGTCTGGGACCAGCGCGTCCCATTGGGTAGGCTTCACCGGGCCTGGCAGGCTTCTGAGAATATGGTTCGGGAGTGGATGTCTTGGGCTGGGGTGCGTTGGCTTCTTGAGGTGCGGATGGCTCAGTTCAAATCGTGTCGGTTGGAGCATGCCGTCGAGTACTTTTGTCGTTGACGACTAGGGCCTCGTCGTTGATCTCTTGCAGACACCTCCTAAGTCGGCGCGCGAATTGGCGCGCCAATGGTTCCAGAGCTGACAGGCAACGAGAATGCAGGAACACCATCGGGAAGTTTGCTGTGGTGGCGAAGAGATGGGCTCCGAGTCCTGCGCAAGTTCTTGGGTGGATCCAGCGCTTCCATGAAAAAGGCACGCGCTTTGCGAATTCTCTTCGATCGCTTGGGGTTGGAGCCATTCGGGTTCGGGGCCGCGAGCACCAGGCATGCTGCAATGCATGCTGCATGTCCCTGGTGCCTGGTGCGGGGCTGCTTGCGCCGGGCTGCTTTTGCGTCGACGCGAATGACGAGGAACTCGTGCGGGACTGCGTTGAATCGCGCGTCTTGGTATCTGCGTGAAAAAGAGGGCACCAACGGCTGGTTGGCCCAGGTTGGGATAGGTTCGGGTCTTGCATATGCATGCCGCTATGTCCTCCGTTTTCCCCCGAGGCCTCCGCGGGGTCCGAAGCAAAACTTTGGGGTTACTGGAGCTCGAACAAAACCAAGTGATCCTCAGTTGCATGCACTGATGAGTCTGGAACGGCCCCGTCATGGCCCGAGCTGAGACGCTGTGGGCGGGCGTTTTGCCGGTTGGGCGACATTGGTCTTCCTCTTCGCGTTGCGCGTGGACCACTTAGAGGGCCCACCCAAAGAGTGTGGCGAGCTGCGCGTGCGGCTCTGCTCGCATCGCTCGGATGACCCGCCAAGGTTTCGCTTGCGGTATCGGACTGGTCCTCGCTCGTTGCCGAAGGCGAAGTGTGGCTCGAAGATCACTCTGGCGCCCGGGCGCAGCGTGCGGACTGGTGCAGGGGGCATATTTGCCTCCGCCCACGGGCTGACGCCGCCCGGCTTTTACTGGTGCCCTGCTCGGGGGGGATTGCGTCGAACGCTCAGCACCCGCGGGGATACTGCCCCGAAAATGGTCGGGCGGGCAGGTTTGCGAAAGTGGTGGTGGCACATGGATAGGCGGACGCGTTGGCCAAGTCTTATGAAGCGCATTTGCCGGATGCTGAGTTGTAGGGGCGTTGCATATAATGGTGCGCATGCCGCGCGGCGCATCGAGGCGCGCTGAGCGACCGCCCCGCCTGAGCTCGTCGAGAACCTGCCCCACTGCGCATAGCATAGCCATCATGGGCCCCAGTAGTTATCAATGTCAAGCTTGCCCCTCCCAGGCCAAGGCCGCCGCCGTTTCAGCAGAGCTGCTGCAAGGGCCCTGCCAGCCTACGGCCCAACAAAGGCCCACGGCCGTGACGGATGTAAAGTTGCAAGTGGCCCCACCCTTGCGCGCGGCAGCGGTGGGGGCAGCGTTTGACGCTGCTACTGTTGTTGTCCCCTGGTCTTGTGATGCTGGCGCTGAGCGGAGTTCGGTCCGCGAGGGTGGGGTCGGTGCCCGCTGAGACTATCGTCGGGCGCCATGGGCACCTTGTTCTGGTGACCCCCGCGGCCATGGCTTGTATTATATGTGGCTCGCGCCAGGCGACCCAGGGCAGGGTGGCCAACTGTCGGTTCCAGAGCCAATGCTCAGCTCCCTGTTGGGCACGGCCCCGCCGCGTACGAGAATAATCCTAACATTACCGCCGCCAGGGCGGGGAGGCGCCCCAATTCGGGTAAGCTCGTTGATGACTGTTTTTTTATATTCTAAACGCTTCGCGTTCACAACTCCCCTTGATCTTCTAGGCTGAACGGCCCATGAAAAGGCCCGTTCTCCCGTCCGTCGGTTGCACCACTTGGTTAGCCTGGTGGCCCCCCCTTCCCGCCCCTCCTCCCCCTGCTCCCCCTTTTTCTCTGCATTCCCATCCTCATCCTCTTCCTCGTCGTCATCATCGTCATCATCATCATCCTTCCCCCCATCCCCCTTCCCTCTCCTCCTCCTCCTACTCCTCCTCCTCCTTCTCCTCCCGCTTCCACCCCCCTCCATTTCCTCCTCCTCCTCCGCCTCCTCCTCCTCCCCCTCCTCTTCGATTCCTTTTCCTCATGCATGAATTCTCCCTGTCGCACCCCGAGGCTAGTTTTTAGAGCGGGCCGGTTGTTTCGCAATCTATGACCCTGAAGCTGAAAACTGCCAACAGCTTCACAGATGGAGGGCGGGTGGCTTTCAAATTGTGGCTTCTCCTCAGCTCCGCGCACATCCGGTTTAAACATGTGCAAGAGTTTCACGGAATGGGGGCGGCTTGTTTTCAAAATGTCGTTCTCGCCTTAGCACCGCGCGCTTTCGTTTCAAACGTGTGCAGGATTTTCACGGGTTGCGGGCGGATCCTTTTCAAAATGGTGCTCTGGCATATTAGCGCCGCGCACATCCGTTTCTAAACTTTGCAAGGGTTTCACGGGTTCCCATGATCAGCGTACCAGGAACGGTGTTTTGGGAGGGTTCAGGATAATGATAGTGCAACAACTACATTGATTCGCGGTGTTGAAGTCCCAGGACTGGCGTTTTGGCGCGATTCAGGACCGCCAAGACGCAACACTCACGTTGATCCGTGGCGCTGAAATCCCGGAAGCAATGCTTTGGCATGCTTCAGGGTTTTCAACAGCTGTTTTCCAACGAACCCGCTGCAGGGGCCTATGCAAAAGGAGCTTGGAGGGCGGGTTTTTCCCCAACATCGTTGGTGACTCTTGGGTTTACACTGGTCTTTTCCTTCCTCCTCCTCCTCCTCCTCCTCCTCCTCCTCCTCCTCTTCCTCATCCTCATATCCTCATCCTCATCCTCCTTCCCCTTGTCCTCCCTTCCCCCCCGCCCCCTCGGGGAGGGGGAGGCCCCGTGCACCCGTGCACGCTGACGGCCCTGAGCAATCGCGCCGTGCTTCTGCAGGCCGGGGCCTCCTCGCCACGGCTCTCCGTCGCCGCCGCCGCCGCCGCCCAGTGCGCGAGGGTGGGAGGTCGAGATTCGGGGTTCGACTGTAAGAAATCATTGGGAGCCTGGGCTACGATGTTCCAACCTACTGTACAGTCGGGGCGCTGAATAAGGAACCCTTTTCGTTGGGGAGGGGCTCGGTGTTCCTTGATTGTTTTACAGTTTGCTTTGGATTTTCCTGAGGTTCTCCATGGGAAGTCGAAGTTTAACTGATGGGAAAAGGGGGCCTCGCTCCTTATTTGGGGTTCCTTAGGTCAACGCCCCGACTGTACTGTAGCCTTGATCACCACACACAATTTCGAGCTCCGGGAGGCAATGCGCGTTCGACACTGCTTCGAGACATGTCTGGCTTCGAGGGTAAGAGGTTTTTGAATGCTCGGGCTTCCTTAGTGGGCAATTGGAGGCCTGCGGGGGCCTCCGCGGCCCTCCAGATACCCCCGTCGGCGATGTCGGTCGTCGGTCGTCGGTCGTCGGCCGTCTGTCCTTGGTCGTCGGTCGTCCGTCGTCGTCGTCGTCGTCGTCGTCGTCGTCGTCGTCGTCGTCGGCTCGCGCTCGCAGCAAAGGCGGGCGCTGGGGTGCCGTGTGGACCGAGGTTTTTGTGGAGGAGGAGGTGGATTGGGAGGGAGGGAGGACGCGGAGGATGGGGAGGGAGGGGAGGGAGGGGAGGGAGGGGAGGGGAGTGAAGGAGTGAGAGATGATGACGATGACGATGCCGGTGACGGTGAGTACGGCGACAACGATGTTGAGGATGAGGCTAATGATGACGACAATGATGATGTTAATGATGATGGTGATGATGATTTGAATATGTTGTTGATGATGATGAGGATGATGATGATGATGACGATGATGATGTTGATGTTGATGTAAAGGGGGACGACGACGACGGCCACGAAGATTATGCTGGAGATGTTGATGCTGGTGATGTTGATGCCGATGTTGATGATGGCGATGGCAATGGTGATAAGGTTGATTATGACGATGATGGCGATGATGATGATGATGATGATGATGATGATGATGATGATGATGACGATGATGATGATGGCGAAGAGGATGACGGGGATGACGACAGAGACGCACATGTTTAGGTCGGTGATGATGTTGATCATAGGGACGTTGATGATGATGATGATGATGATGATGATGATAATGATGATGATAATGATGATAAAGATGACGATGAGGATGATGATGCTGATGGTGATGATGATGCTGGTGTTGGTGATTACGATGTTGATGATGCGGATGATGATGATGGTGGTGATGATGATGCTAATGATGATGATGATGATGATGCTGGTGGTGATGATGATGATGTTGATGATGCTGGTGATGATGATGGTGGTGATGATGATGCTGCTAATGATGATGATGATGATGATGATGATGATGATGATGATGATGATGATGATGATGATGATGATGGTGGTGGTGTTTATGATGATAGTGACGATGCTGATGATGCTGATGATGCTGATGATGATGATGATGCTGATGATGCTCATGATGGACATGATGCTGATGCTGACGATTGTGATGCTGGTGGTGATGATGGTGATGCTGATCCTGGGCTTACTGATGATGATTATGATGCTGGTAATGCTGATGATGCTGCTGATGATGATGCCTATGATGATGATGAGGAGGAGGAGGAGGATGATGCTGATGATGATGATGATGAGGATGATGAGGATGATGAGGATGATGACGATAATGATGATGACCATGACGATGGTGATGATGAGGAGGAGGAGGCAGAGGAGGAGCAGGAGGAGGAGGATGAGGAGGAGGAGGATGATGATGGAGATGAGATGATGATGATGATGATGATGATGATGATGATGATGATGATGATGATGATGATGATGATGCTGATGATGATGATGATGATGATGATGATGATGATGATGAGGAGGAGGAGGAGGAGGAGGAGGAGGAGGAGGAGGAGAAGTAGGAAGAGGACGAGAAAACGGAGGCGGAGGAGGTTGAGGAGGAGGATGAATTGGAGGATACAGTAATCTATAAAGAGAGGAGGGGGAGGGGAGGGGCGTCTGGAAACAGGGAGAATGAGGCTGGGGATGATGAGGATGAGGGGAGGATTGATGAGGATGGAATTAGGACGAGGAGGAGGATGAGTGGGAGTTGGAGGGGGAAGGATGAGGGGGAGGGATGAGGGGAGCAGAATCAGGAGAGAGCGGATGAGGAGGACGAGGAGGCGGCGGGGGAGAAGCAGCCGAGCGGCGTCTTCACTCCTGACCCTTCCCTGCTGTAGACTTCCCTGCCGTCCACCGCGCGGCCTCGACCCCACGGCCGAACACTGTGCCAAGTCTTCACGCTCCAGGCGGCGTCCCCCGCCCCGGGGGCGTCGGGGGGGCCGTGCCCTGCGGCCCCCTCGCGCGGCTTCCGCGACTTCTTCACTCTCGCCGGTCGCTCTCGTCCTCCTGCTCCCCTCTCTGCTGTGCTCTCTCCCCCTCCTCTCTCCCCCTCCTCCTCCTCCTCCTCCTCCTCTTCCTCCTCCTCCTCCTCCTCATGTGCCTTGCGTCGCATCGGCATCCATGGCACTAGGTGCCCGCTCATCTGGGCAAAGCGGCATGGCCCTTCCTGCCAGGCTGCTACGGGGCTTACCTCAGCTCGAGGCCCAAATCTGCACCAGACTCGCGTGGGGCTCCTGTGCGCGCGCCAGCTCTGACTCTTCCGGGAGCAGCTGGTCTTCGCACGCGCGAGATTCTCTGACGGGCCTTTGCTGGCTTGTCACTCGCCTTTGGCGTTCTTCCTCCCGTCCCCTGCTCGCTCATGCTACCTGGGTTGCTGCTGAACGTTTTCGAGTTTTGCCTTTGTGGCCGTTTGGGCCGCAGGGGTCCGCCGCACAGCGTCCGTTCCAGCACTCCTCCTCCCTCCTCGTCCTGTTTCACGCTCCCGCTGCTGCGCAGAGTGGTGACAAGACAAGCTCTGGGGTGCGGGCTTGCCCCGAGGAAAAACAATTATGCTAACGGAGTTCCCCACATAAAGAGATTAACAGTTTCGTCGGACCCATTTTCTTGATGCCCTCCTCGCTTTGGCGGGGCCTCCCTGGAGGTGTGGGAGGGGCACGAAACCATGTAAATAGTATGGTTTGCCGATACCCTCCTCGCTTTGGCGGGGCCTCCCTGGAGGGGTGGGAGGGGGCCGAAACCATCAGGCACCTACCCTCCTCGCTCAGGCGGGGCCTCCCTGGAGGGTGGGAGGGGCACGAAACCATGTAAATAGTATGGTTTGATACCCTCCTCGCTCAGCGGGGCCTCCCTGGAGGGGTGGGAGGGGCACGAAACCATGTAAATAGTATGGTTTCCGATACCCTCCTCGCTCAGGCGGGGCCTCCCTGGAGGGGTGGGAGGGGCACGAAACCATGTAAATAGTATGGTTTGCCGATACCCTCCTCGCTCAGGCGGGGCCTCCCTGGAGGGGTGGGAGGGGCACGAAACCATGTAAATAGTATGGTTTGCCGATACCCTCCTCGCTCAGGCGGGGCCTCCCTGGAGGGTGGGAGGGGCACGAAACCATGTAAATAGTATGGTTTCCGATACCCTCCTCGCTCAGGCGGGGCCTCCCTGGAGGGGTGGGAGGGGCACGAAACCATGTAAATAGTATGGTTTGCCGATACCCTCCTCGCTCAGGCGGGGCCTCCCTGGAGGGGTGGGAGGGGCACGAAACCATGTAAATAGTATGGTATTCCGATACCCTCCTCGCTCAGGCGGGGCCTCCCTGGAGGGGTGGGAGGGGCACGAAACCATGTAAATAGTATGGTATTCCGATACCCTCCTCGCTCAGGCGGGGCCTCCCTGGAGGGGTGGGAGGGGCACGAAACCATGTAAATAGTATGGTATTCCGATACCCTCCTCGCTCAGGCGGGGCCTCCCTGGAGGGGTGGGAGGGGCACGAAACCATGTAAATAGTATGGTATTCCGATACCCTCCTCGCTCAGGCGGGGCCTCCCTGGAGGGGTGGGAGGGGCACGAAACCATGTAAATAGTATGGTATTCCGATACCTCCTCGCTCAGGCGGGGCCTCCCTGGAGGGGTGGGAGGGGCACGAAACCATGTAAATAGTATGGTTTCCGATACCCTCCTCGCTCAGGCGGGGCCTCCCTGGAGGGGTGGGAGGGGCACGAAACCATGTAAATAGTATGGTATTCCGATACCCTCCTCGCTCAGGCGGGGCCTCCCTGGAGGGGTGGGAGGGGCACGAAACCATGTAAATAGTATGGTTTCCGATACCCTCCTCGCTCAGGCGGGGCCTCCCTGGAGGGGTGGGAGGGGCACGAAACCATGTAAATAGTATGGTTTGCCGATACCCTCCTCGCTCAGGCGGGGCCTCCCTGGAGGGGTGGGAGGGGCACGAAACCATGTAAATAGTATGGTTTGCCGATACCCTCCTCGCTCAGGCGGGGCCTCCCTGGAGGGGTGGGAGGGGCACGAAACCATGTAAATAGTATGGTTTGCCGATACCCTCCTCGCTCAGGCGGGGCCTCCCTGGAGGGGTGGGAGGGGCACGAAACCATGTAATAGTATGGTTTTCGGTATGGAGTGGTATGGAATGGTATGGTAGGTATGGTATGGTACGGTATGGTATGATATGGTATGGTATGGTACTGGAGGTATGGTATGGTATGGTACGGTGTGGCATTGGTGTGATATGGTATGGTATGCTATGGTACGCCATGGTATGGTATGGTACGGTATGGTACGTATGGTGTGGTATGGTATGGTATGGTATGGTATGGTATGTTTGGTAGGAACTATGGTATGGTATGGTGTGTGTGTGGTAGGAATAATATTGTGCTGTATGGAAGATGGAGCGGGAGGTGGGTGGGAAGGAGAGGGTGTTCTGGGAAAACAAGAACCCCATTCAGGATGTGGGGAACAAATCACGCTCCTGTTCTCTTGCACGGTGCAATTTTGTGCAGGTTCTCGTTGTGC